AAAGATTTCACTCCAAAATACCATTATCATTGACTCCTATATCTAAATATGTTTCTTCCATTGATAGGTTTGACCCACTTGAATTTCAGCAATATCTTTCCTTTCTTAACTAATCATTCGTTCATAGTAATCACAGTTAACATGTATACACAACATATTTTTACTTGCTTTATTTTTTATGTATTAACTCAATCATCCTAACAACACTATGAGATAGGTACTATTACTATCCCATTTTAGAGGTGAGGAAACTGAGACTTAAGGAGACAATTTTCTATCTAGCCTGCAATCACATAGCAATTAAGTGGAAAACTTGAAATTTGATCCCAGCAATATGGCTCCATTGGACCTGCTTTTAATCCCAGCATGATGATGCAGAGGTTTTACTTGTTCATTCCAAAATTGAACAGTATGAACCCAGACATACAATCCAAACAGTAATAGCAAGAAAGAAAAAAAAATTCTAAGTGTTTTGGGCCACATTTCTCACCTATTCCTTCTACCTCATGCCCTAAAGCCCCATTACTCAGCAATTAGGTATTTCCTCTGCCCCCTTGAAACATGTTTCTGATATAAAAAAAAAAATTTTTTTTAATGGCCATAAGCAATTCCAGCAAGCACAGGAGTGACAGAAAACAGGAAGTTAATTGTTTATTTTGACCATCTGGGTATGCCCTCGATATTGACTTATCAGCCACGGTTCTAGGTATGGGGCATTTTGTTTGACTAGAAAAAAGGGCTCTTTCTCACTATTTGCAGGTAATATGCTAGGTGTTTTCACCCACATTATTCTCTTTAACACCAAAAGCGAGCCCACCAAATGTAATTAATGGAATCTTGTTTTTAAAGACAAAGAAATAGACTCAGAAAAGGTTAAGTATCATGGTCAAGGATACTCACCTGGAAATGGTGGCATGCAGATTTAAGCCAAAACCTGATCTGAAGCTGAGGCCATTTCTGCGACAGCACGATGCCCTATCCTTTAAAAACAGGATCCATTCTTAGTTTTGTTTTTTTTTTCCTCTGAACCGTGAGTCTTTACAGATTTACTGGTTGTTAAATGCTACTGACTCTAGCTAATTCCCAAATTAACTAGATTCCTTCTGGAGCTTGTAAAATGTGCTACATACTCAACTTCTGAATTTAGCATGCAAGATGATGACCACAGCAGGAAGAATGGTGCAACTTTCTTGTTAGAACAATGCACGCCTAAAAGCCTCTTTTTAATTTCTACCTTCTTTTATGAGGACTACATGAATGAGGACACACCTAGGATACTGCATATTAATTTCAACACAGCTAATACCCAAAATGTCCCACCAATTTACTCTTCGCTGACAATGTTAAAAGAAAATGATTTATGCAGATCAATCATCTCGCTCATCAAGTCCTACCCTGACAGCCAGCCTTCATCATTGCTATTTAAAAGGCACTGCTGACAGAAAAGACCGACTCTTTGATTAAGGGCCCTGTCTGGCTAACCTTTTATTTGAAGAATGATTGCCGCTGAGTGACAAATACTTTTCCATTCATTTCAAGGCAAAGATATTGACATTCAAATTCTTGATGGCTACACCGAGCAGATGCCACTGTTGGCAAGAGTCTTGAGAGCAACAGCAGGTACACCGTGGCTCTGGGGGCACGGGAAAAAGAATAAAACTAAAATACGCATACAGGCTCTGGCTAAAGGTTCTCAACAAGTGAAAGCCACGTGTCTCTGGACCAGATCCTCTTTCCTCAGTAGTTACCAAAGAACACCTGTTTGTAGTTTTGTCCCAGTTTTCTTCTTAAAAGTGCCCTTGTGGTTACCTTGACCCGACTTGGAACTGCACAGGCAGCAAAGACTAAGAGTCAAAAAAGAGGTCGGGAGCATGCAGTTTCCAACCCTAGGAAGAAACACTTCTCTCTGCCCTTAATCAATGATCGCAGCCACCTCAAACTAAAAGTATTGGCCTCCTTTTGGCATCACAGGACCACCATGAGGGACTAAATGCAAAGTGGAAGAAGCATCTGAAATATCACCTATAAAAAACACAACAGAAATATTTTATCCTATATGCTAAAGAAGAAAAAAAATACGAGAAAGAGAGGCTAGGATTGGCAGAAACAGAGTGACCATAAGACACAGACATAGAGTTTTGTTTTGTTTTGTTTTGTTTTGTTTTGTACAAACAGAGTGACCATAAGACACAGACATAGAGTTTGTTTTTTTTTTGGTTTTTTTTTAAGGCAATTCTTTTTTTTCTAATCCATTTCAGGTAGATTTCTATCTTGGTCGGTATCACATACATATAATGTAAACATATCCTCACAGCAGGATTGTTTCATTATTTTCATTTCTTAAATGCAAAATATTACGGATTAAAGAAAGCTATTTGTGGCAAGAGTCATCACAAAGCCTCAAGATTAATCATTTCCAAGTACAAAATGAAAATACCTCAGCAGGTCATCAGTGATTCCTTTTAAATCTTGCAGAGATGCTGTGTGCAGGTCGCAAGTGCTTGTGAGGGACAGAGTATCAAAGAAACTGTAGCTCTGATTCTCCAACAAATTCGCACAGTGAGAGAGGCAGGGGACAACCAAGACACAGATAGAACCCTCTCCCCAGTCACCCTAGGGCGTAACAGGTGACACAAGAGTAGAGCAAAGTAACAGGGCTTCAGAGAGAGAGAAAACCTGAGTTTGAATCCAATCTTTGCTGCTTATTAGCTGAGGTATATGAAACAAGTTAATTTCCCTCCCCAATCTTGTTGCCCTGGCTGTAGAATGTCTACCTTACATAGTTATTCGTGGATATTAAAAAATATGTATTAAAACAACTTTCCCTTATCTAAACCCCTTTTCTCCTTCTTTCTTTTCTTCTTATCTTTGCTCACTTGTTTATATGAGAGAGTAGTCCACAAGAGTTATGGAGAAAAAACACAAGATTTACAGTTAACAAGGCTAAGCTATAACTCCTACTACATACACTTACTATCCATGCAACTGCACAATCTTTGGATAAGTTACATGTTGAACCTCCATACTAGCCATATGTCTCTCACCATGTTATAATGAGGACAAATAAGATAATGTGAAAGCCTTTTATAAACTTTAAATTAATATAGAAATGTTTGCCGTAATTACTGTTGTTTTCCAAAAATGGGACACTCCAACCCATTTTTCTTTTTTCTTATTTATTTCTTCCATCTATATTCCCCATGGTGAATAATAAATCAATAGCCAGTTAATTAATCAATAGTCATATTATCTCCATTCCTTAGAACTATTAGTAGTTGCCTCTGCAGCTGCTAGAAGTACCAGGTTTAGTAGTTGCCTCTGCAGCTGCTAGAAGTGATGTTTCTTCCATAAGAAAAATTTATTGGAGCTTATTATGTACCAGGCATTTGGACAAGAAGGTGAATGAAAAATGCAAAATTCAGTCAAGTGGAACAAATAGACAAATAAAGAAATGATTTCAATTTTGCTGCACCATATAAATTAAGTACAAAGGATGCTGAGGAACCCAATGAGGAATGGTATGACTACCTGGGGGAGTAAGGGAAGATTTCACGGACACGTATTAGACCTGGATCTTCAAGGGTGAGCAGGTCCTCACTAGGCGGAAAAGGAAAAAAGAAATCATCCAGAGCAAGATAATGCCAGGTACAAAGGCACAGAAGCCCAAGAGAGATCATATGCTCTGGCAGGGACAAAGGCAAGTTCAAGACATCCTGTAAAGGCTGATTCCTTCAGGCAATGGAGAGCTTAAGCATGAAATTTCTGTGATATGATCCATTGATTAAAAACATCACCCTGATGAAAGGCTGGGCAAATATTCACTGGGCATCTACACTGAGCTAGAAACTAGAGACACGATGATGAAAAAGACAATCCTAACACTCTCTCTGGGGGTGAGCTAGGCAGGTAATTACTGCTTTCAAGTAATATTTGAGTAGCTGCCCAAATGGGGGCAGGCACCAGCACCTGTGGCTTCATGTCCGGCCTTGGAACCTGCCCTTCATACCCATTTTGCAGGTGTAGGTTCCTGCTTTTCTGCTTGACCCTACTATTTTCTTTCTATGGAATCTGGTACAACTATGGATCACTCACTTATGTGTTGTGAGCTCTGTCCTCAAGCTTTCTGCCTTCCCTCCCTCCTACTAGCCTACTGTTGTCCTGCTTTGACCTGCAGCAATCCTGTGAACAGCCCAACAGCTCCTGAAACTGTCTCTAAAAGTGGGACTCTATTCCAAGTCTCTGCCCCTTGCTCCCTGCATGCATCTCAGTAAAAGTGCAGCAAAGATGACTCTGTGTGTTCACCAAATCTTGTTTCACTGTCCTCTTCCTGAGCACACAGAAAGACAACTGACAACCTCTCACAGTTAGTCTGGGTTCCAGTCAATACAGGAAAAAAGCCCCTACCAGCCACGGTCTTTAAAAATATCCCAATGCAGACCTCTGTATTAGTTTCCTAGACTACTATAACAATTATCACAAACTTGAAGGCT